TGGACCGTGGCAGCCCAGAGCTGCTCAGCCACTGAGTTCTGCCAAGTTTTTGATCACACCTTGAAAAGACACCCATGAAAGAGGACTTCCAGAACTGGTTCAGAAAGTGGCAAGAACCATGGGATGTGCATGTTCAAAGTGTGGGGAGGACCTGGGCAGGGGTGATGGCAATGTGTCTTTTTTTAAAATTTTATTTTATTGGTGCATTTTAGGTACACAGTATAATGGCATCATCATTGGGAGTTTGCACCTTTACATAATCTCTCCTGGTTCTTATTTTCCCTCTTCCCCTGCCCTCCCTTCAACCCCTCCATCACTTCCTATTTACAGACTTTGTTTCCAGTTTTTCATTTTCACACATTAATTCCATTCCCTTCTTTCCTTTCCCCTACCCCTCCCACTTCCCCTTCCCCTTTGCCCCTTTTCTTCCTGTTTCACGGTAATGTGTTTTTTAATGTGATAAATTTGTTTAAACATTCACCAGATACTTTTGAACACGCCCCATATTTACCCTCCATAGCTATTAACAGCCCAAAGAGTGTGCTGATGGCCTGGGCCTGGTGACATATTTATATCCTCGTGTTCCCCTTCATTATAGTGATGGTTGAGTGATTCTGTCAACTTGAGAAGTTAGTTAAGAGAAGCTTAACTAAATGGGCTCAGCAATTGCACACCCTAGGGTGGGAAGACCCACCCTGAGCCACTCATTGCCTGCATGGTGTAAAGGGGAAGCCAGGAAGGATGCTTCTGCTTCTGTCTCTTCAGAGGAGCTCCAGTCTTTACCTTCACCTTGGACGTCATCTCCTGGCTTCCAGTGAGACTCTGGAGCCTCCATCACAGGCCCATCAGCCTCCTGATATGGACTCTCATGAAGACCGCAGTGAGCTCCAGACCTCTGACTGAATCCTCTGGTCTCCAGCGTGCAGACAGACCCTCTGCTCTCTCCTCATCCGACTCTGTGGGCAGCCACTGTGAGCCAATCTTTTACATTCATATATATTTGTATATCTTGTGTTATATCTGTTTCTCAAATAAATACTGACTGATATAGCCATTTTATAGTTTCCAACAACATTTTGTGTCTCTTGGGCAAACTCCATTTGATAAAAACTAAATTTCTGGGAACAAAATTAAGCATAATTTTGTTCTGCAGCCAGAGAAATCAGCTCTCCCTGAGTGGCTCAGCCCCTGGAAAACAGCAGAAGCCTCTGCCTCTCGGGCCTATGCTCGGCAGCTTGGCCCACTGAGGCCCTGGGAAACATCAAGGAGGTCACTCTGACCAGCTCCGCTGCAAGGCTCTGGCCATCATGTGAGCCCACTGTTCACTCACGGCTCTGGGAAGCAAGTGGGCAGCTGCCTCAGAACTGCCCAACCACTGAGTCCGGGAGAGGCATCGAATGTCCCAAGGTAACTGGTGGGCACCTCGCTAAGCTGCCAGGCACACTTCTGTTGCTTTCCCGTACCACCTCAGGAACCAAGGGGGCGTCCTGCGCCTTTGTACACATGAGCCATGCCTAGGGCTACTAGAGGTGCCATGCCTAAGACAGCTATGTCCTGGGTGCCACATCCATCTGGCCCACGTGCAGGTGGGCCACTGGGCAGCTATGGGCAAGGGCCACACTGATGAGACTGGAGAAACTACACAGACTACACGGGTGCACTCACCTCCCACCACCTGACATTCTGGGGCCTCTCGCCAGGAGAATGTCTTTTACCACAAAACACACCTGTAAACAACAAACTAATGGACCCACTGTCTGGGCAAATATCAGCAGAGGGACACAAGAGAAGTGTGAATAACAAGGTAACATGTCTCCAAGCAAGAGAACAATACTCTGTGAAGGGAACTTAAAGAAAATGAAATCTATGAACTTCCTGAAAGAGAATGTGAAAAATGGTTTTCCAAAAAAACTCTAGATACAAGAGAATACAGACAATTCACCAAATTAGAAAACAAAAAATTTACTGTCTGAATGAGAAATTCAGCAGAGATTCTCATGATATAAAAGAACAAAAAGGAATCTAGCTGAAAAACATAAAAGAGAGTTCTGAGCCTCAACAACAAATGAGATGCACTGTGAGGGTAGTGACGGGATAAAAGGTAAAAAGGATTGAAAATGATCAAAATATGTACATTTACCAAACCCCCAAACATAATTATTATGTATTACAAGCACCCACTTGAAAAATCCAAGTCAAAGGACCCTGAGAGACCAAACAGTGACTGCCACGTGCAGGAGACTCCAACCCACCAAGGCTCAGAAGAAGGCCTGTAACCAGGACTGTCACCTCAGCCCCAGAAAAGACATGTTCCCTCAAAAAGTACAAGTCCAGTGCCTTGGGCTCACTACACTGTTTAAAGTCTCTACGTGGCCTACTGGGGACGTAGTGGGTGATGCAATGATAACTCACTCATCTACCTGGCAGTGCCATTGACACTGTACCCCTGTGTCTCTGACCTTTGAAAACAAAAAGGGAACAAGACTAGGACCCCACAGTCACAGGGAGCTCATGGCCATGATTCCTGCACTGACCCACAGAGAGCCCTGGGGGACACCATATGCGGGTGCACCTCTGGCTGGCCCTCTATGAGTTCCTGGGGAATTCCAGGTCCCTGCCACCCCAAAAAGAAGGGGAAGATAATGAGACAAAAGTTGGTCACTGCACTGCAGCTCTTAGGGCCCAGGGAGTTGCAGTCCCAGTGCAGTGCAGAGGCCACAGCCTCCCTAATTGGCCATTGGAGACACCGAGTGCCAGTCGTGCCAGACACATAGAATCCTCACAGGTGGATTTTCTGCAAATACAGAACTTCCACACGCTGTCCTGCATTGGCGACAGGACAGGAGGCCATTTCCTCCAGGATTCCATGACATGGAAGCAAGGTGCTTCCAGGACAGGACAGCCAGGCTCAGTGCTCTCCTGTGACCTGTGCTGCTGGGCTCCATGAACCTCTGTTCAGGGTCCACAGTGCTGGAGTCCTCGGGGTCCACCTCATGATCCTCCAAACAGAGCAGGCTCAGAGCACACGGACCCTGGGAGAGGAGCTGGTGGCTGGGTGTCCTGGCCAAGACATGAAGGTAAGATCAGTGCCTGCCTGTCCTCTGCCAGGGCAGGAAGAGGCCCTCAGAACAGGGACATGGCAGGGTTGTGCACACAGTAAGCACTCGGCATGTGCCCTTGGCAGGGGACATGGTGGCCACTCTCGTGTCCTAGCCAGTCCCACCCTCAGCTCCAGCTCATGGGAGCAGTGCCTGTGACCCTCGTCAGGAAACAACCTCAGTTGTCCTTGCTGAACACAGGCTCTGATTCTGCCTGGGAGAGGCCTCAGCTCTTCTTTCTACCGGCTCCCAGGTAAGGGTGACGTGTCTGGCTCAGGACCACTGTGTGCACAGGAGGAGCAGGGAGGAAGGTGAGGACAGGAGGCCCAGCACAGCCGGAGTCTCCCAGCTCCCCAGTAGCACAGCGCCTGCCTCAGGCCACGGCCAGCTACTCATCGCTGATGCCCCTGGACGCACATCTGTCCTCACCAGGCTGGGGAGGCCCCTGCCTGAGCCTGCTCCTACACAGGTCACTTTACCTGGCCTTCAGGAAGTACGTTCTCATAGGTTCTCAACTGTGCAAAGACCATGCATGAAGTGCGTATTTTAACCACAAATGGGCTTATAATCCAGAGGGACCATGAGAGTAATGAGCACAAAAGTGTTTCTCTAACAAAGGAAGCACAGGGCTGGACATGCCTGTGTTTCAATAAAAATGATACAAAAGAAGTGTTTGTTACTAGTGTGCACTGTGTTTACATGTTGATGCATTCACGTCATGTGTGTACATGTTAACTCTACTGTATGCACATAACGCAGCCCAACTAGGGGCACCGGCTAGTCCCCCTCACAGGGGAGACCTCTGCTACAGAGAGGGTGCTGGGGCCACACCGGCTCTCCGGGCAGCAAGTCCTCTCGGTGTGAGGCTGAGTCCACAGAGCTCTGCAGGGTGCACATCGGGCCCACCCTGCCAGGGCCTCTTGCTGCCCCCAGGAGGAGGCACAGCAGCCCCTTGCCCCCACACACACAGGTCCCCACACAGCAGCATCGTGACTCCCTCTGGTGACCCACGGAAGACCAGGGCAGCCCTACCAGGACACTCACCCACGTCTGCAGCCTGGCAGAGATAGACAGGAGAAAGGGATGGGAACGGCATATGGGGCTGGGCAGAGGCCACCAGTGTCTGCCCTCAAGAGAAAGAGCAAGGCCTGCCCGAAACCCCACCTCAGAGGAGAGCAGAGAACAGATCCAGCAGTGTTACGGGGTGGGGCACTGCACCTCCCCAATGGTCGGGGCCAGCGGGCTGAGCCATGGCCTCCCATGCTCCGCACAATATTTAGGCACTGGCAGGAAGTCCCTGAGATCCCTGAGGAGGCAGAGAGGACAGCAGGTTGAATGCCACTGTGGTCCAGGGTCAGAGCACAGGTAGAGATGGGGCTCAGGTCCTTCAGGGGGGAGGACAGAGGTCCCCCCTCAGCCTGGTTAGGGCTGGACCCTGCTGTGTGTCCGGCATGGACATGCTGTGGTCACACCACTCAGGGCCTGGAGGGCAGGAGGTCCTCCCAACCATGTGAGCCTTAGGGAGTGAGGAGGGACCACCAGGGAACCAGGGACAGGAGTCAGGAGATGGGGCTCATGTTCCTGGAGAGCTATGGAGAAGCTGGAACGGGGTCACTCTGCATGGAGACCACTTGGCTGTGGACTCCTCGCTGCACCCCCAGAGCATGGCTCAGTCTCCCACCCGAAGCCACTCAGCTCAACTCCAGAATTAAGTAAATCAGAGGCGGTGTCCCATTTCAGGTCTCATCTGGAAGGAGAACAGAGCAGCTGGTGGCCACCTGGTCACCAGGCAGCATGGCAGCAAAGGGTCTCTGTGCCTCATGGGACGTGTGAGCGTGGGACTGTGACCCCTTCTCTGCCACTGCCTCCGTCATCCTCTGCACAGCTGCCAGGCTCGGGTTGATGGCCCAGCATGGAAATGGGAACGTCTCGGTGGTCCTCTGGAGAGAGTTTGTGCTGGAGGGATTCAGGGGAGGTGTGGAGACCCAGGCCCTGCTCTTTGCTGTGTTCCTGGCCCTGTACGTGGTGACCATCATGGGCAACCTCACCATGATCACAGTCATCACCCTGGATGCCCGTCTGCACTCGCCCATGTACTTCTTCCTCAAGAACCTGTCCTTCCTGGACCTCTGCTACTCATCTGTTTTTGCCCCTGAAGCTTTGACAAACTTCTTGTCTTCCTCTAAAGTCATCAGCTTTGGAGGCTGTGCAACCCAGCTGTTTTTCTTCTCCTTTCTTGGTACTACTGAAGCTTTCCTCTTAGCTGTGATGGCCTATGACCGCTTCATGGCCATCTGCAATCCCCTGCATTACCCAGTGACCATGTCCCCCACAAGGTGTGCTGGTCTTGTGCTGGCCTCCTACTGCGGAGGCTGCCTCAACTCGATCATACAGACCAGCCTCACCTTCCAGCTCCCCTTCTGCAGCTCCAACCACATCAACCACTTCTTCTGCGATGTCCAACCCCTGCTGCAGTTGGCCTGTGCTGACACAGCTCTCAATAAACTGGTCATGTTTGTCATCTGTGGCTGCATCGCTGTGAGTGCTACAGTGGTAGTTTTGGTGTCCTATGGCTACATCACAGTGACCGTCCTCAAGATGCATTCAGGGTCCAGGGGACAAAAGGTCTTCTCCACCTGTGGCTCCCACCTCACAGCCGTGACCCTGTTTTATGGAACCCTCATTGTCATATATGCCCAGCCAGGGGGTGTGGAGTCCACGGAGCAGGGCAAGTTTCTCTCCATCTTCTACACCCTGGTCATCCCGATGCTCAACCCCCTCATCTACAGTCTGCGGAACAAGGACGTGAAGGTCGCCCTGCGCAGGCTGGGACAGAGACGGGCGGCCCTGTGAACAGGGGGACTGGAAAGAGACAGTCCCGGGGTGGTAGGGGTGGAGGGAAGGGCACTGCACATCACACTGCCTGTCACAACAACAGCTTTTGTGTGTCCTGAGCCGTTCTTCTTCTCCTGCATTTTTTCTTTCTTTCATCCTTCCTTCCATCCAGCTTCACTTCTTCCTGAAACTGTCATAAGCCAGGCTTTACCAAAGGTGAGTCAGCCCATTCTTTCCACCACAGAAATAATGGTGCAGCGATGCAGCAAAGCCCCCTTGGGTGACGCATTGAGCAGATGACTGATCAGAGAGCCCTGGAGTCAGCCAGGGGATGGGAACAAGGTCAGCATCTCCCAGTTCAGACAGAAGGATCTGACCTTCAGAGATACCCTGTCCTTTTCCTTGTCACTGAATCTAATATCAGTCTGTCTAGGAAATCTACACCGAACATCTTAGTTCGGGACACTTAGAAACTGTAGGTGTGACCATCCTCAGATCCTATGAGGTCATGGCCCAAACACAGGAGACTTGGAAAAATGTGCTTCTTTCTCAGTCCAGCATGCTGGCTGCTCCTCCCCTTTCTGTGTTCTTGCTGCTGCCGCATCCTGCCTGGAGGCACAGTGTGCCTGCAGTTACTGGAGATGCTCATCAGATGCCTGGCGCCCTGGCATCTGCTTAGCCCCCAGCCAGGGGCCCAGGTGAAACTGCATGGCTTCCTGTCCCTCACAGGTTCCTCTCAGCCTGTTTTGCCACTGATCACAGTAAATGGTGCTCTGTCACCATACACCCTCCAAGTAAGGATACAGCCTTCTGGTTGCTGGACAGAGGGGAAGGAATAAGAAGGATCAGTGAGTTTCTTTTCTCCAGTTCTTCTGGCGACTCCACTCTGTTTTGCACTGCTAGGGTCCTGGGCCTGCAGCTCAGGTGGGCCTTCACAGTGCACACCCACTCTCATGCCTCCTCCAGACATACATGCCGACTATGTATATGTTTTCTGTCATCATATCCATTGGAAAAAAGAATATATCTTTGTCTTGACCATGCTAATCACGCGTTACATGTAGGAAACAAATTACTCTTCTTACACACAGGTGGAATTCTCTTAATTCTTCAGAATTTAATAGTACAAGCAGGACCCATTTGGTGATTCTACTATAGAGCATTAATCCCGATTTTGAGTTATCAGGAAAACTGGCTATACTTTAGTTGGAACAATAATTACTCAATACTCCATAGGAAAAGGCAAAATAAACACACAAAACCCCACCAAACTTTATGTTAACTACATTTGAGCCATACCAGCTTTTCAGATTCTGTCAAAAACTACTGCTCATTGTTGGAAGTGATGTCTTTCGTCTGTAACCCCAACAATGAGGGAGGCTGATGCAGGAGGGCAACCTAGCAACACCCAGTTCCAAATAAAGAAACTAAAAAGACTAGGGATGTAGCTTAGTGGTGAATGCCCTTGAATGTGATCCTCAATGTCACAAAAAAGTTGCTTAGTTCACTATATACAATGTTTTGCAAGCTGCCACCCCAAGGCAGATACTTGGCAAAATTCTTCGGGCTAATAACTATTTGAGCTATTATTATGTAGTCATTGATGCCAAAATATACCAGCATAGTTCTACATAGGTTAATGAACTTCTGTGCAGTATCAACTTCTTCAAATCCAAAGATCATATGATGGATTTTTTTGCCTAACCTATGCTATCTTTTAAAACTTATTGTCTCGCTTTTTAATTTGTGATACAAACCCATAACATAAAATTTGCCATGTGGAGCACTTCTGTGAACTGGTTGGTTTCATTAAATACATTCGTACTGCTGTATAATCATCTCCAGAACTTTTAATTCTGCATAACCAAACTCTGCACCCACTTAGCAACAACTCCATTTCTACCCCTCTCCCAGCCCCTGGTAACCTGTACTGTACCTTTTCCTGTCATGATTGTACCCCCATATAAATACACAGACCCAGTACTTTTCTTCTGGTAACTGGTTAACCTCACCTAACACCATGTCACCAACCAGCTATGAGGTAGCATGTGTGAGAATTTCCTTCCATTATACTCCATTATACTTCCATTTTATAACACATCGTGTTAAACCTTTTATGTACAGTGAACATTTGGGATGCTTCTGCCTCTTATCTACTGGGAACAATGCTGCTGTGAGCCTGGGTATGAAATTATCTATTCAATATCCTCTATCAATCAGTGCTTTTGGATGTATAGCCAAATGTGTGATTGCTGGATCATATGGTAATTTTTTTCAACTTTTTGAAGACTCTTCATACTTTTCTCCCCAGTGGCTGTATCATTTTCAGTTTTACCAACACTGCATTAGGGTTCCAAATTCTCCATATCGCATCCAACTATTGGTATTTTTTGAGTTTTGAAATAATTGTAGTTTTTTTGTAATGGGGATGAGGTGGTATCCCATTGTGACTTTGACTTGAATTTCCCTAATGACTATTGGTGCTGAAAATCTTTGCACGTGTTTGTGGCCTGTTGTATATCCCATCGTCAATTCAAGCCCTTCTTCACCTATTTTTCATTTGGGGTACTTGTGCTCTGTCTGCTTGCTGATTTTGAGTTCTAGGAATTCCCAATACATTCTGAATATTAACTCCTTATTAAATACGTGATTGTCAGATAATTCACAGGTTGTTCCCATTCTACAGGTTGACTCTTCACTGCATTCCTTGTTTCATTTGCAGAAATTTTTAATATAGTTCCATTCATCTCTGCATTTTGAGTCATATCTGTGCAATTCTGACAACTGCCATATCGTGAATCTTTTCATTTATTTTCTTGTAGAAGTATTATAGTCATAGATATTATGGTTGGGACTCTAATCTATTTTGACCCATGGTTTGTATATTTCATCCAAAGATACAGCTACATCTTTTTGCATGTAGATAGCCAGTTTTTTCAACACTACTTATTGAAGAGGTTGTCCTTCCTCAGTTAAACCGTCTTAGTACCTTGTCAAAAACCACATGACCATGTACGTCAGAGCTTATTTCTGTGATCTATTATATTATTGGACTGGCCTATATGCCTCTCTTAATGCTAGGACCACACTACTTTTTTAGAATACCTTTGTAATATGTTTGGAGTCAGTAAATGTGACCTCCAATTTCATCCTTCTTAATTGCTTTTGCTGTCAGAGACCCCTGTAGTCACGTTCCAGTCCCCACCTGCCCAGTGTTTGATGTAGGCCTGAGAAAAAGAATACACTAAGAGACAGAACTAAGAAAGAGAAAGCGGGTGCCAAGATGAGCAATGTCGGTGCAACCGACAAAGATGCTGGCCAGTCCTAGGCACTGACTTTTATTGGCAATCAACTGGGGTAAAGGCGGCGTGAGGTTTCTATGGAAATTAATGCAAATAAGGCTCATAAAGGACAAGACAAAGCATTCTCAAATTAGGAACAGAATAGACAAAATATATGACTGTAATTAGAACACTATCCTCCTAGTCTGAAGGTTTACTTGTGGGAATGGAATTTGGGTGCAAGTTACTCTGACCTTGGCACGTAGGCTTCAGCCAGACTCAAGTCTATAGACAAGCCAATTGTGGGGTTAACTCTCTACAGCCTGTTTTGGGCATAATCAAGATTACAGTTCTCTACATTCTGCTATTTGGGGTCTCTTGATATGTCACATAAATTTTAGGAAGGAGTTTTGGTTTGTTTGTTTGTTTGCTTTTTGTAAACCACTGCCACGGAGATTTTGAAACATTGTATTGAATCTGTGGACTGTGTTAGTTAGAAATGATTTTTTAAAGAATATTAAGCTGGGGATTTACTTCAGTGGTGCTGTGCCTGCCTGGCAAGCACAAAGTCCTAAGTTTGATTATCACTATGTATATATTATTATTATTATTATTATTATTATTATTATTTTAAGTCTTCCGGTCCATGAACATGGGATATCTTTCATTTACGTTTGTCTTCTTTAATTTCTTACAGCCATGTTTAGCAGTTTGTAGTGTACATACAATTCCTCATTGTACACATATACTATGAAACATTTTATTCTTTTGATTCTGTTATAAATGGAATAGATTTTTAAACATTTTTGTCATTCATTTTTGCTGTATAATAATGTAATGATTTTGTGTGTGTTCATTTCATAAACTGATATTTATAAAATTAGTATTTTAATTCTAATAGGTTTTTTGTGAGATCTTTGTTTCCTACATATAAGATCATATCTTCCACAAATATATAATTTTACTTCTTCCTTTCCAATATTGATGTTTTTTGCTTACTACTCTTACATAATTGCTCTGGGTAAGATTTCCAGTGGTGTCGATAAGAGTGGGCATCTTTGCCTTCTACCTGATTCCTGAGGACAATTTTTTAGTCTTTCACTATTTGGTATTATACTGGCCTTTGGCTCTTTGTAAATAAGTTTTGTTATGGTGAAGTAATTTCATTGTGGTCCCAATGTGTTATCTTTTCTTGCCCCATCTCCATCTCCCTTTAAATCATAATTTCATGACTGCTTTTTCTGCATCAATAAAGATGATCATTTGTTTCCCATTTTAATCTGTTATGCCTTATTGCTTATTCCTTTGTTTTCATACAATACAATCTCTTTCCTTATTTTATTAGTACATGTTTGTGTTACATAATGAATACATTCATTGTGGGTAGTTGGTACATGTACATGACATCTTATCTATTCTAATTTCTGCCAGAGTTACTTTCAAAACAAAACTGGTCAGAAGAGATAAAGATGGTCATTACATATTGGTAAAAAGAAACATTCACCAAGTACAGATATAAAGTTATAATATATATAGTTGTACATATAACAGTTGTGAATATATATGCTTCAAATGTTGCCCCATCTAATTTCCTAAAACAAAACCTACTGAATATAAAAGGATAGACAGACAAAATACAATTATATTGGGGGACTTCAGTATCTTACTGCCACCACAAATAAACAGGTCAACCAGACCAAAAAATTCAACAAAGAAATATCAGAATTAATACCATGA